GAAATAGTCTTAGATTTGCAGAAATGTCATAAAGCTAGTACAGAGAGTTCCCGCCAACCCCTCATTTGGTTTCTCTTAGTTGTTTTTTATTTTTATGGGTTCGCCTTAGGGTATGCACACTCGCCAGAGAGGAAGAATGAGTGGGACAGTGAGAGGGGAAGTGAGAAATCACGCCGCGGGGCGGGTGGCCACACCGCAGTCCTTTCTCCTTTCTTCTCCTGGGATCTCGGACACGCATGCACATGTGCCCAGAATGATTTTCAAGCCACCAAGACTGAGACTCAAACCACGGCTGGCCACATGGGAGTGTAGCAATGTAAGCTCTGTGCAGTCTGCAGGCCCCTGCTTTCCCGTAGCATTAACACTACGTGGTCATGGTTTATCTGCCAGAACTAAGGAAACAACGTTGGTTGTGGATGTCTTTTCAGTGTTGTGTTTGTTTGTTTGTTTGTTTTGGAGAGGTTTATGGGGCACATGTGCTCGCCAGAGAGACAGAGAGACAGAAAGCGAGAAATCACCCCCCAGGGGGGATGGCCACGCTACAACCCCTCTCCACCATTCTCCTCTCGGGATCTTGGGCACACACGCACATGCGCCCAGCGTGAGTTTAAGCCACCGGGTCCAGGACTCAAACTTCAGTAGACTACATGGGAGTCCAATGGCATAGCCATTATGCCAACTGCTGGTCCCAGTTTTTTTGTTTTTTTGCTTTTTTGTTTTTTTTTTTTAAGTGTATGTATTCCTTCCATGTGTGAGAGAGACAAAGAGGAACAGAGAGACAGAGACAGCACCCCTGATAGGATCTTGACCCTACTTCCGACCTCCAACTTCAGCCAGCATAGCCAGAGAGGTCTCTGTACACATGCCGGCAGCCTGCCCACGGCAGCCTGTCGGTTTTACTGCCAAGTCACCATCTGGGCCCTCAACTTGTTTTACAAAGAAACTCTGAAACTGACCAAGTAAGCGAAGTCTTGTCCACTGCTGGGGAAGAAACGGCTGGCCAGAGCACGCTCCGAGTTTTCAAAGGTAGCCAGGAAGGCGTGGCTCTTGGACGCCCTGAATTGGCCTCTAGTGACCTCAGAGGAGCACATGGTCCCAACCTCTGTCCCACAGGTTGACACCGACAGCGTTCACCCGACCAGAGACCAGAACGTCATGATTTGATCCCGGAGGAAACCGTGATGAGGTTGGGGGAGGGAGAGACGTTAACGCCCATCAAATCAACCCTGTCTCAGAGTTCTGCTCACCTGCCAAGAACAGAACATTTTCAACCGAAAGCGAAGCTAGGTGAGAGGGATTATGAGTCCTGCGTCACATGTCTCACTCCGAGCAACGGTGGCCAGTGCGACGGAGCTGTCAGCCGCTGACATGATAAGGGATAGCAGCGGATGAGTAATGGCTCCTCCATACCAACTCCCTTAATTACAAGCTCTTCTCTCCAGAAGAGAGACAGAAGATGCAGAAACACCAATTTCATGCACTTGTGCCTGAATAATGTCTCCCTGCTGCTGTTTCCAGATGGCGACCTTCTCACTGGAGGGACTAATGATGTGGGCAGATTTAGGGAAAAACCAATAACGGAGTCTTTAACCTTCAACAACAAAAAGCGTGTTGTACAAAATGTTCCTTGGGATACATTAGAAAATATCAATTACATTGCTCACTGAGGTGTAATCAGCTGTAATAATCAAAATTAATTTTTAAAAATAATTAAACAGACCCCAGGGCAAATAGTTGCTGCTCTTACGCTGTGACATCACAGCGTACAGATGTACCTGAGAAGTTGTGCCTTCTGTCAGTGACAAAGGCATCTAGCCGAGATGAGTGACGGGCGTGGGGTCTGAGGGCTGGCATCTCAGCAGAGGGAGGGGACCGTCCCCGCCCTCCCTCTGCGCGCTTGCGTCTGCAGGCTCCAGGCCCAGCCCAGCCCAGATGACCCGCATGGGGAGCTGCAGAGTAAGGACGCCCTGAATTTTAAAAACTGAAACATAGTGGAGAGAAAGAAGCAAAACATTTCAGGGACACAAAAACGGGAAATTATCTGTTGATAGTAATACGTGTGATAATATCTTTAACTGGACTAATACGCAGTGTATTCTTGCTGGGAAAATTCATTTTAGAAGCCGTAACGATATACAGTAACTGAATGTATAAAACAATACAATAAAATAAGTTGAAGCAAAGTGCTCTTTGTTTCAAAACAATTTGCTTAAAAACAAAACTCTAGAAGATATTTTAAGCTGCAGAAAGGAAAACTAAGTGAGGTAAAAGGCGAAGGGGCGAGTCAAAGCGTAAGGAAGAAGCCAGGAAGAAGGCATGTGTGTGCATTTTACAGAAACATATCCCAGCGGGCTGTGCGCAGCTGAAAAGCTGGACCAGGCTTAAATCTCTGAGCTTCTGAGCATTCAGAGCAAAGAAAAAACACCATCTCTGAGCTTCCGAGCAGGCAGATCAGAGTGAAATCTCTGCAGATCTTTACTGAAAGCACAGCTCTGCTCAGTGCTGATGGTGCAGGGAGAGCCCTGTGGGGCTCGGGTCGCTCCGGTGCCTGCCCCCACTTCAGTCCAGACACTGGCCTGTGCTGTCTTGGAACTCCCCAGCACCGCCTCCCTCCTAGCCCCAGGGCGTCATGAGGCTCACAGCTCCCTAGATTCTCAGCCCTGCTCCGATGCCCCCTTGCTAGGACGGCATCGTCAGCTACCTCCACCTAAAGCTAGCCTCTCTCTCACCACCCTCTCCCCTGCCCTACTCAGCTTTCCCTCGTTGCAGTCGGTACCCCAGGTGTATGTGTTTATTTATCTGTGTACTGCCCATCTCTGCCCTGGAACGCAGCCTCCACGAAAGCAGACCAGGGGCCTGTCTGTTCTCTGCTCTCCTCGCTGTGCTTAGAGCGGGACGCAGAAGAAGCGCTCAATAAATATTTGTTGAATGAATGAACAAATGAATGATATAGAGAACTACATCTGTAGTGGCCTGTCTTCACTAAATACAGACCAGTTTCAGATATTTTTCCTCATTCACGATAAAGCATTTGTGCAGGCATGTGAGAGAGCGAGTGAGAGAGAGAGAACGGCACCTCCAAAGGGTCTGGCCACGCCATGCTGCCTTCCCCCCATCCCTTAGCCTGTCGGATCCTGGACACTCATGCATGCCGGGATTAGAACCACAGCTGCTGTGTACACTCCGGCCTCTCTTGAGCAGTGTGTTATCCTGTCCTACTTCCTCACTGTGTACTCGCGTCTGCATTCTCTAAGAGAAGCCCCATCCAGATCTCCTAGAGTAAGCCAGGAGTACAGGTTCGAGGCATCTGGTACACCCACATGGTCTCAAACCTTGCAGTCAGCTCAAGCCTCTGTCAGATAACCCATAGCTCAGCCGGTCTCGCCAGGACCTGGACACAGCTGAGCTGTGTTATCATGCAAACTGGGAAGCGGGGCAGGCACTGTCCTAGGCAGCACTGTCCTAGGTGGGCTGCAGGTTCCCATAAGATACACATCCATGCCCAGCACCCTGGCCACCGCTTCCTAGGGCCCCAGCCAGGCCACCCTGGCCTCCTGGGCACAGTGTGACTCTGTTCTTAGAGTAGAAGCTCCAGGTGAAGCCAAGGAAAGAGGAGCTGGCCTGCTCCTGCCACAGATGCCATCGGTTGGGAGCCAGTGCCTGGGCAGAAGTAGGGGTGCTCCGGGTTTGGGGGCCTGTACACAATGCCACCTGTGGGACGATCTTCTCCTTGGCGGAGAGAACTAGACGATAAAACAATGTTGTCAAAAGCACTCAGAAGAGTGTCTGTGTGCCCTGGTGTGACAGTGTAAGCCCAGCTTGAAGCTGAGGCAGTCCTGAGGGTGCGGGATCGCCTGAGGTCGTGCTTAGCCGCACAGGGACGGGACCCTACCTTCACGCCACCATGGAATTGCTACAAAGCCCTTAATTTCGTTGTTTGTTTGTTTTCCGGATTTGGTTTCCAAATCTGTGTAACGGGGCTAATAATAGCAGGTGGAGGTAGCTGTCAAAATCTGAGAGTTATCCGATCATTCACACGGTCAGTGAGTCCATCCACAGACTTAAAGAAGCATCCTCAAAAAGCCAGCTCACCAAGGCTACACCTGAGTAAGACATGGGCTGGCCCTCAGCAACTGACGCCAGGCGGCTTCACTCCCTCATCAGGAGCGAGTGTCCACTTCCCTGCCTTCAACTGGGCAGGGCTCCACTCCTCTCTACTAAGGTGACGCTGCATGGCTTCTGAAGCTAGGTCACAAACAGCAATGTGGCTTCTGCCTGGTTCTCTCTGTCTCTCTGTTATCCCCACTTCCATTAACCCTTGAAACGCTGCCACCTTGTCATAAGGAAGCCCAGGTTACGTAGGGAGGCCACAAGTAGGTGTTGCGGCCAGGAGCCCAGCTAAGGCCTTAGACTAAAGCCAGAGTACCACCACACGTGTGAATAACCTTCCAGCGATCCCAACTGAGCTACAGACATCATGAAGCAGAGACACCCCGCTCTCCCACTGTCCCAAATTCCTCGCAATGGCAACCCCATCACAAAGATATCATTACTAGAACCATCAAGTTTTAAGAAGATTTGTTACATAGCTTTTGAGAAACTGATTAGAAAACCCCAGTGGCTCTGCCACACACAGCCGAGGGGGCTCACCACTGTGGCCCAGGAATGTCCCCCTCCGAGAGGCTCGCACGCCCAGTTCCCGCCGACCAGGGCAGGAGTGCCTTCTGCATGGACCTGATTTGCAGGAAGAACGGAAGGGGGGTTGGTTTAGTTTTTAATACCACAGGGATATCCCCTCCTGATGCTAAGGGGGATCCATCGTCACTTCAAGTTAAAGCCAGCCTAAGACCTGGCTACCCTAAAAGCTGCTCCGATGGGAGAGCCACATATGTTTCCTTAAACGCGCAGAAGAACGTGGACCTAGATCGCAGCTAGTGACACTTGGCAGAGAGGAAATGCAAGCGGCTGACGCTTCTCTACGAGACAGCGTCTGGGCTCACCTCCGTCTTGCACTCTGGGTCCTTGGCCTGCCGCCCGGGCACCAGCCGCATAGCTGAGGACAGGCTCTCGCTCCACGAAGTGACTTTGCTGTGGTGTGCGACGTGCGAGCGGCTGGCCAGTGACTTCTTCTCGGAGGCTGAGGGAGGAAAGCAGAGGCTGTCAGAGGTGAGGTTGAGGGGGTCGCACCTACTTCCACAGCCGGCCTGACTTCTAAAGGGCCAGCCAAGGACATGGACCGGCCACGAGCTCTCACTGCCACCTTCTGATGTCCCCACCAGCCAAGGACACGGACCGGCTACGAGCTCTCACTGCCACCTTCTGATGTCCCCACCAGCCAAGGGCAGAGACCCAGCGTTCCCGCCCCCTATCAGGGAGAGGGCCCAGGCCATGAACTCTCCCTGCCACCTTCTGATGCCCCTGGGCCAGGACAGACCTGGCTTAAACTCCTAATCCCTTGGCTTGTGGAGTGACGGTGAGATAGTGGACAAGTAAGCTAAGCTATTGAGCCTCAGTTTTGTCATCATATAAAATAGGGACAGGAGCATCTAAATTCACTGGGATGGCATGAAGTTTAAGTCAGAGTCCATGTATAAAGCCCAGGCCCTGGGATATAGTGTTCGGTGTAGGGCTGTCGGCCCCAGGAGAACCACGCGTTAAGTTCTAAGATCCATCTTACCACTGTATTCTACTATGTGTCTACACTACATGTATCTTATTTTATTAGTGTCTCCCTGAAATGCGTTCTGACACTTTGACTTCCAAATGCACATATATGTAGCTAAATGTGTATATGTCTAATTTAGAAAGTCAATTAAATAAAAGCTCTTTATCACTGAATGGTCTGGGGCAATATACACAAAAATAGCTCTGGAATCACAGTAAACTCTGCAGTACTAAGTCTTGAAACCAGTATGTGAGTCAAGATTTGAGAGCAGCAACTCCTTAAAAACAAAGTCAAGGGCCAGGTGGCAGCTTGGTGATTAAGGCAGCTGGATCCCACATGGTCGACTACACAGTTCAAGTCCCAGATCTGGCTGCTTGGGAAAACACACCAGACACATGTGTGTGCATTCCCCAAATCCTGAAAGGAATGGGAAATGGAGGAGAAGGGATTGTGGCATGACCACCCAACAAGGTGGAGGGAGTGCTTTCTCACTTTCCCTCTCTCTTTCTCTCTCTCTCTCTGTCTCTCTCCAGTGAGCATGCACCCTCTGGCAAATCAAAAACAAAACAAAACAAAAAACAAAATTGAAATGTCATTCTTTCCACTGTATTGATTAATAGGAGGGTGAAAATAGAATGCAAGGAATTTCTGTGTTAGGGGATGAAGATTTCCACTAGGTGAAGTGGCAGGATCTGAGCAACCCGAGGCTTGAGATCTCTGCGTGACTTGGTGCAAGGTTTCAAAATTGATAGATGAGAGACCAGCAGTTAGCGTAATGGCTATGTCGCTGGACTCCCACATAGTTGACCGCAGTTCACGTCCCAGACCCGGTAACTTAAACTCACGCCGGGCACATGTGCATGCGTTCCGAAGATCCCGAGAAGAGAATGGAGGAGAAGGGATTGCGGTGTGGCCATCCCCCCTGGGGGGTGATTTCTCACTTTCTGTCTCTCTGTCTCTGTCTGTCTGGTGAGCGCACATGCCCTATAGAAAAAAAACCTCTCAAAAAAAAAAAAATTGGTAGGTGAATATCAGGACAGGCCCTAGAAGCGCAGGCTCCCGAGTGCAGGCCAGAGCCCTGACACGGTGGCTCCTCCCTCTAAGAGAGTACTGGAATCTGCTTGTGTGCCTGGCATCCCGAGCCTGCCTTTCACCCAAGATACAATGCAGCATTCATTCTGTCTAGGAAAGAGATGGGGTTTCAGTGATGTAAATCCCACCCTCAAGAGAGACGAGATGAAGGGTCTGGATGGAAAAGGCTCTGGGCCCTGAGGGGAACACTGGAGGGGTCTGGATCTACGGGACTCAGAAGTTCGCATTCCCTGTGCTGCCAGAGACCTAAGTAGTGCTGCCAAGCCTTGAGCATCGTCTCCTCCCAGAGCGGGGTGACTTCTTCTATCTTCACTTCACTGTCTCCAGGTTTCACGGAGAGATCGATCTTGAAGGTGTCCTCCAGTGTCTGCCGCCTCTGTGCCACGAGCTGCTGCCAGAGAGTCCGCACCATCTTCTGGATGTTGTGCTGAACTACCGGAGAGAGCACATGGCATGTCAGGACAGCCCCAGTGCTTCTCCCAGAGAAGGCTAGGAGATGGTGGGTCAGGAGAGTGTCCCACGTCCTCCTCCCATAGGGTCTTGAACGTCACCCCGACTTTGTCTGCCCCGGCTGGAAGAGTCAGTATACATAGTCCCCACAGGCATGGGACATGGGACGGACGGCAATGCTGCCAAAGTCCATCTCTCCTGCCTCCAAGTCCTGCCTGCCTCACAGGTGCAGGTCCAGGAAGCAAGACTGTTCAACTCAGGAGCCCATTTTCTCCGGATTTGCCTAAATATGGACAGCTCCACCAAGCCCCCTCTGCCTGCGTATCCCACACCTAGTATCCCCTGAAGCACGCCAGTATTTCTTCTGGGTGCCTCCTCTGGCACACACCTCTAACCTGTTCTCACCCTCTGGGTTCGGACGTGGCCCAGTACAGCTTTATCGGCCAAGCCCCACCGTCTGCACACTCGCACTGTCATCCACCCTGTGCTAGCACGAACTTTGAAGTCACAAGATTTTGGACACTGGCTTTGAGTGTTTATCTGACCAGAATGCAGAGGCCCTTGTTCCTACATGGTGTTACAAGGTCAGTGACAGTCTGCAAACCCAAACGGTAGAAGACAGGAAGCGGGTCTACTGCAGCGTCTGCTTCCCGGTCCGAAGCAAGCACGGTTTCTCAAATCCCTGGGACTGGTTGTTAGGCAGATACCTATTTACAAAGTATCCAACTCTTTGATTTGATTCGTGATGATTAAATCCAATAATACACTCATTAAATCAAAAGTCTTACAGAAAGTAGTGAGTTTATTGACTCCGTTTCCATTTTCAAGGGAACGAAGCTAGAGGTGTCATGCCAGGGCTTGAACGAGGTGAGATGGCTGGTCAGTTTCAGTCTAGAGTGCGGTACCCAAGAATTTCAGTAAGTCAGCTGAAGCTCTCGTCTAACCAGTCCCACAGAACCTCCTCTCCATCCATCCATGTCTTTGCATTTCAACATTATTACAATATACAGAGCTCATGCTGGTGTTGCTATTATTATTATTATTATTATTATTATTATTATGTTGCCAGGTCCCCTTGCTATACCTCTGGATCACTTGGGATTCCCTAAGTCCTCTCTGTCCTTTGAAATGTTCCTTACTACTACCTGCCTTCTTATCTGGAGAAAGATACACCAGCTAATGCAGTCCTAGCAGGGAGCACTGTCCACCGCCCCTCCGCCCAGTGAACAGCAAGTAACATGTACCATCGTTCAAACTCGGGAAGTCGTCCCCTCTTTTTTCTTTCACGTCTTCATTTGGAGAAAGGAAGACTTGATGATAAGGACTCATTCTAGGCTTGGGTTCCAATCCAAATCCTTCTGGATAACTAACAGACAAGAGATTTTTCAGTGTAGACTCCAGTGTATTTTGAACCATTTCATTGTTCTTTCTTATAAATAATCTTCCTCTGAATTCAGGATATTTCAATATGAAAAAACTTGTTTACTCAAGATAAAGCAACCACCCTATGACGATTTCCACAGTGACTTTTTGGATACTAAGAAAAAAGCCTTTTCTTTACGAGAAGCCCCGTTTATGAAATCCTATCCCTCTCCTGGCTCTCTGCCATCAGAACTAGCCATTTCTTGTGCGTCCCCTCAATGTTGGACTCTCCCTTTGACACTGATGTCACCCTCCCTTGAATGGACAAGCACGCAGCCAAGGCCTTCCCTCCGGAGGATGCCGTGCTTGGGCTGCACTGAACCCCTCCTGAAAGTCTTGGGACTTTTGGACCTGGGCTCTGCATGCTCGTCTTGCCAGGGCCTAACGAATGCTGCGGACAGCACACGTGGGGCGCCGTGGGCCCAGGACTGTGTGCTCCGGGCGTCTCCACCATGGTAATGTCCACGTGCTCCTCTCAACCTTGAAGGAGCACAGACACTCAGTAAGTGTGTGGGGATGGAAGCAAAAACGACAACCACAGAAGTGAAACACGCATATGCCACAGCGACACGTGCAAAGGTCCACTCTTGACATTTCTAGAGTAAAGTCACCTTTGGGATCTGGAAGTCATTTTGATAAACAGAGGGTCCAAGGAGGGTGTCATCTCAAGTATGCCATTGTCATTCTGCCCTTCTTACCCATGCTTATGAGTGAATAGGGCCTAATTCTTGAAACAGAAAAGGAAAAGAAAAACTGAGAAAGAAAAACTGCCCCGGTTTAATCATATACAGAAAATAATTGTTTTTTTCATTTTAGACAAATAAAAAGATAAATGCCTCTCCTGGGCTAGGAGGGTTTCCCGTTGCTTCCTAGAGAGTTTCAGGACAAGCAGCCCTAACGCTGTGCCGTGCTCAATGTCAGCTCACAGTGTGCGGGTTACTGTGGTCACGTGACCAGACGCAGATCGTGCTGAGACCAGCACGACCAAGAAAAAGGGCACCAGCCAAAGGGTACTGGGAGTCCTTCTTCCCGGTCCGCTCAGCGCAGCTCTAGGAGGAGATAGCGTGCACGGGAGAGGCTGTGATACCAGCGACACGTGACACATGTATGTCGCCACCCGGAGGGAGAGACAGACGCGAACGTGCGAAGGCGCTAACATAGCTTCAACCTTGGGGCTTCAAGAACAGGCTTTAAACATGCTTATTTATCAGTGTCCCTTGGGCAAGCATGCCGGTGGGCGTCGTTTAATATCTAACCCTTACGTGTGTCTACTTGAGCGTGTGTGAATATACATATATTTTAATAATATGGATAATATATATGAAATATTTTGCTTGCATAAAGTATATATTAAGTATATTATAATCCTTACATAAATGCGTATTAATATGTTAAATATATATGTGATATATTTTTATGCAAGCAAAATTGTTCTCAGCCTGCACCACACCATGCATTTTTCCATTCTAAGACTGCATTTCTCAAATGTTAATATTTCTGAAATCTCGCCATATCATAAAATCAATGTGTTCACTTAATGTCAGCATCTTCTACCTCAAAAATTAAATCAATAAAGTATATTACAAACTTAAAAGTGTGGAAAGAGGGAAAATTATTATTCCACAGTGATTCTAGACACGTGGGCAGGTTGGAGACGACTTACCACGTTATACAACATCGTAACATTGCACATAGTTTGGACAAGCAGATGAACAAACCCTCCTGTTTTTCCTGGTGACCTCAGTCAAGGTTCCTTCCAAAGCCTTCTTTTCTGCACTGACCACCTGCAGGCAGGGAGACAGCCGACAGCCGGTAGCTCTCACCTCCTTGCGTTGAGCAGGAACAGACAATGCATGAGACAGAGGAGGAAGCTGACGTTGGAGTTGTAGGTGGCGAAGACAACGTCCCAGTGCTCCTGGAGAAAGCTCAGGATGCTGAAAAGGCTGAGGCACTCGGAGAGGGACTGCTGGGGCTTGGACAGGCAGTACAGGATGACTTTATTCGCGCTGCTGTATAAAGCACTGATGACCGCGTCCCTTTGAGAAGAGGCGTTCTCGATGACCTGTGTCGTAGAAAAAAGATGCACACAGGCTTGTGAGCACTCTGCAATTTCAGACACAGACCCAGCTTACCCCCCAAAATAATAACATAAAATGACATGATCTACCCACTTAATATATATCGAGTGTCCGCACTCTATGACTGAGACAAGCGGCTGAAGGCTATAGAAACACAGTAAATGGATGTGAATACCAGAGGCAGTGTGTGTGGAAGAGGAGGGTCTGAGGAAGGACAATGAGAAGAAAAATAGGCAAAGCATTAATGGGACAAAGAAATGTGGTATTATCTGTTGAAGATAATTTTGTAGTTTTATCAACTGGACTAGGGAGAAATGCTCACATATTAAAATATTCTTTGTAAGCTAAATAACATGATCGAATGTATAAAAGAAAATGAAATTTAAAAATTAATAAAAAATTAAAGGTTTTTTTTAAGAAAATGACATCATCTGATTCAGGTTGAATCACAGCTATTCTCTACCTTTGAATTTCTATTTAAGTGACTGAGCAGTAATGAAAATTTAGAATTTGAGTAAAAACTTACATTAGGAAAAGGTTTACAGGGATGTATTATGATAAATAGCCTTGGTGACCAGAGATTTCTGAAATACTGGTAACACCGTTGACACTAAGCGTTTAAGAAGATGCCATTAGTAGTATCTAATAAATAAAAATTACGAATTAAATAAATAAAAATAGGTATGTATCATTATTAACAGTAATTATTATAGAGTGTTTCCAACATTCCGGGTAGCACGTGAGCACATTTGGTATAGAACTGCACGGTTTACACAGATTGCCTCATTTCGATGTCATAGCAATGCCATGAAGCAGACTGTAAGGGTATTGCACTCTAGGGGGCAGCGTGCTCACGTGGCCAGCAAGGGGCACAGCCACAGCTGTTACCCACCATAGATACCAGCGACACGTGACACATGTATGTCGCCACCCGGAGGGAGAGACAGACGCGAACGTGCGAAGGCGCTAACATAGCTTCAACCTTGGGGCTTCAAGAACAGGCTTTAAACATGCTTATTTATCAGTGTCCCTTGGGCAAGCATGCCGGTGGGCGTCGTTTAATATCTAACCCTTACGTGTGTCTACTTGAGCGTGTGTGAATATACATATATTTTAATAATATGGATAATATATATGAAATATTTTGCTTGCATAAAGTATATATTAAGTATATTATAATCCTTACATAAATGCGTATTAATATGTTAAATATATATGTGATATATTTTTATGCAAGCAAAATTGTTCTCAGCCTGCACCACACCATGCATTTTTCCATTCTAAGACTGCATTTCTCAAATGTTAATATTTCTGAAATCTCGCCATATCATAAAATCAATGTGTTCACTTAATGTCAGCATCTTCTACCTCAAAAATTAAATCAATAAAGTATATTACAAACTTAAAAGTGTGGAAAGAGGGAAAATTATTATTCCACAGTGATTCTAGACACGTGGGCAGGTTGGAGACGACTTACCACGTTATACAACATCGTAACATTGCACATAGTTTGGACAAGCAGATGAACAAACCCTCCTGTTTTTCCTGGTGACCTCAGTCAAGGTTCCTTCCAAAGCCTTCTTTTCTGCACTGACCACCTGCAGGCAGGGAGACAGCCGACAGCCGGTAGCTCTCACCTCCTTGCGTTGAGCAGGAACAGACAATGCATGAGACAGAGGAGGAAGCTGACGTTGGAGTTGTAGGTGGCGAAGACAACGTCCCAGTGCTCCTGGAGAAAGCTCAGGATGCTGAAAAGGCTGAGGCACTCGGAGAGGGACTGCTGGGGCTTGGACAGGCAGTACAGGATGACTTTATTCGCGCTGCTGTATAAAGCACTGATGACCGCGTCCCTTTGAGAAGAGGCGTTCTCGATGACCTGTGTCGTAGAAAAAAGATGCACACAGGCTTGTGAGCACTCTGCAATTTCAGACACAGACCCAGCTTACCCCCCAAAATAATAACATAAAATGACATGATCTACCCACTTAATATATACCGAGTGTCCGCACTCTATGACTGAAACAAGCGGCTGAAGGCTATAGAAACACAGTAAATGGATGTGAATACCAGAGGCAGTGTGTGTGGAAGAGGAGGGTCTGAGGAAGGACAATGAGAAGAAAAATAGGCAAAGCATTAATGGGACAAAGAAATGTGGTATTATCTGTTGAAGATAATTTTGTAGTTTTATCAACTGGACTAGGGAGAAATGCTCACATATTAAAATATTCTTTGTAAGCTAAATAACATGATCGAATGTATAAAAGAAAATGAAATTTAAAAATTAATAAAAAATTAAAGGTTTTTTTTAAGAAAATGACATCATCTGATTCAGGTTGAATCACAGCTATTCTCTACCTTTGAATTTCTATTTAAGTGACTGAGCAGTAATGAAAATTTAGAATTTGAGTAAAAACTTACATTAGGAAAAGGTTTACAGGGATGTATTATGATAAATAGCCTTGGTGACCAGAGATTTCTGAAATACTGGTAACACCGTTGACACTAAGCGTTTAAGAAGATGCCATTAGTAGTATCTAATAAATAAAAATTACGAATTAAATAAATAAAAATAGGTATGTATCATTATTAACAGTAATTATTATAGAGTGTTTCCAACATTCCGGGTAGCACGTGAGCACATTTGGTATAGAACTGCACGGTTTACACAGATTGCCTCATTTCGATGTCATAGCAATGCCATGAAGCAGACTGTAAGGGTATTGCACTCTAGGGGGCAGCGTGCTCACGTGGCCAGCAAGGGGCACAGCCACAGCTGTTACCCACCATATGGTCTCAAGGTGACGAAGCCCCACAGGTGCTAGTTTGTAAGAACTTGGAGGGGAAGGCAGAAGGATTTAGCTTTAAACTGACTGGTCCGTAGGTCTGCTTGGCTACAGTGAAAGGAGTCCGTACAATGACAATCACACGCAGGGCTCGCCGGGAGAGCAGAAAGGTCCGTTGTCATCACGAATCCCTGAGACTTCCACGGCTACTGCCAGTGTTCTCCTATGAGCTCAACTGTATTTTAACCTGTCGGGGTTTGGGATTCATTGTCCTCCCCTGCTCCTCTGATGGCCCATGCCTCTCAAACTGAGGTGCAGAGCTGCGAAGTCAGAGGCAGCGAGCAGAAAAGGGCGGTGGATGCATGCTGAAAGCGCTTAGTCCCGGCGCCCTCCAAAGGACCCTCTCCAAGCCCTGGTTCTGAGTGCTTGCTTTGGCCATGAGGGTGCTGTAGCTTTTCATTCTCAGCACAACTTCCCAGGAATCGAATCTGAATCTTCCCAGAGCTGACAAGGAGTTTTTATTCTCCCCTCTTGGAGAGAGTTCTGAGGAAGCCTCGGAATGCATCATGTGCCAATGCCCAGGCCTGGGGGCTGCAGATGACTCCACACACAGGGTGCTAGGGAGCGTGGTCCACACTCGCTACCAGGTGTGAATGGAAGGGAAATGGTGCTCTCAGCTCCCGCTGCAGAGGGCATGCCTGAGGCTGCCGGCGGGACTGCTGGAGGTAGAGGCCAGCTTGCTAAGAGGACTTCCTCCAAGCACAGCCAGCTGGGTGAGTGGGACGACTCGTACACAGCGAGCCCCTCAGCCCGGGACGGCCTAGCACAGGTGCATGGAGGTTGGTCGGGAAGTCTCCAACATGTAATGGGAAGTGAGGGGCTACTAAAAGCCCCATTCCAGTCCAGAACTTTAAGACTATAACTCTGTGCACGTGTGTGTGCACATGCGCACACACATGCACTTCTCCACTGAAGAGGGGATCTGTGGGCCTACATTTACGTGTATGAGAGTTATGTAGATCTGCTTATCTGGGGAGAGGCAGAAGAGGCCAGAGTAAGAGGAGGCCCAGCCATGGTGGCGCTGCTGAGACGTTTGCTGCTCTTCAGGCGGAGGCCACACGAGAGGCCTGGGTTTGAGTCCCAGCCCAACCCGAAGCCAGCCTAGGTGAGGCAGGAGGAGTGCAGCACGCCAAGAGCCTGTTTCAAATGATAAGAAGAGGATGAAGAAGGAGGAGGAGGAGAACAAGAGGAAGAAGAAATGAAAAGAGTAGGTGAAAACAGACTCCTACCTCAGTTTCAGGGAGACACAAGTTAGGAAGTGGGAGGCAGGTACTAGGAAGAAAACGGAACTGACCTTTCAGAGACAAAGATCTTGTTGGCCCTTCCTTTGTCCATGAGCAATGACAATAATTAAGGTTAAAACAAAAGCCACAGCAAAGACTCTAAGGGGCAGTGACAGTGTCTAGGAGGGAACAGTGCTGGGAGTTGAGGCTTCCCATCAACAAGTTGGGTCTCAGGGCCTGAGCAGAGAGGCCTCCAGGCACTCAGTACACACCAGGTACTTCCAGGACCAGAGGGGTCACCTCCTCCCCCTGCTGTCTCTGATCCATTTTCTAATGCAACTGGACCAGCAGGACAAAGGCCAGGAGCACGCGGTGCGGATGCCTGGGCAGAGCAGGCTTCCTTACCAGCATGATATGCTCCGTGATGAACAGCAGGATGTGGCTGGGGTCGGCTGAGAACATCCCGCTGTACAGCTTCTCCACCAGTTTCTGTGTGAAGTAGGAGATGTTTGTGAGCGAAGGGGCAGCAGCAGCTTCTGTGTTCAACTGAGGCTCTTTACCGCCTGGAGTGGGAGAGGAGACAGACTAACTTGAGAGTCAAAACGGACCTCTCTGCAGAACAATCTCAGGCCTCTCCTGGTTTCCAAACCCATCTTATTTGCCTCTGAGCACCCACAGCTCCAGAGACGAACTTGGTACACAGCTGGTGCCAAAAGAACACACATCTGCTCAAAGGAAGGTGACTTTGAAACACCGGTCAGTCACGTAAACCGTGTGGTGTGGAAGCAAGCAAGGAGAAGCATTCTGGAAAAATTTAATGCCTGGGGCAAATGAGAAGACACTGCGGTGACCCGAGGGTCTGCTGCCACGTTGGTCAGACGTTCAAGCCATAATGTTGCCGTCTGTCCACGCTTCCTGACAAGTGCCGTATTCAGACTCCTGCGTGACAATCCAGCTAACCCCTGTCTGGGGCAACGCTGAGTGAACCACGACTGCCAGCCTAATTCACAAGTCCAGGCACTTGCTCAGAGTCACACTGCCACCCCAGGACAGAGCCAAGACAAGCTGGGCTGGCCAAGGCCACACACTTCAACACGCTACTGTCACCCTGCATTTCAGACACACCGTGAGAAAGACCCAGGCTTCGGAGTCGTGGGGCCAGGAGGCCAGGAGAGGAGTCCGCCACAGCTCTGAAACCACAGGAAAGACTTACGCTAGCTTCATCTTGAGGAGGAAGAAGGGCTGCCCTGGACGTACGGTTTTCAAGTGAAGATGTGACCTTCAGTTCTGAGGGCCATGGCCGCATCCTCATCCCAGCTTATTTAAAACACTTGTGTTGCCCACCTATCCTGTCCCCGGCACAGGTACAAAGAGAAAGCTGCTGGGCAGAGGGATGACAAATTCCAGCTATGGCGACTTCCTATGGGGAGGGGTGCCATTTCTACTGAAGCTTGAGGAGAACGGATTTTAGCTGAGAGGACTAAAGGACTATCCATCTCCCGGTGCCCCCGTGATGAAGGGGCTTCATGGCAAGTCACAAGTATTTGCTCACTGAGCACCAGGGCAGCATCGATGAGCTCTGGCTGTAGATGCCCGGTGAGGGCGGCACCCATGGCTGGGGTCAGTGGCCAGCAGGCACACTGGCTCTCCTGCTCAGCTGCCAGCAGCCTCGTGTTGAGGGCAGGGAGCCCCAGGTCACCCACTCACCTCTGGGGAGCGGTGTGCTGACACCGCCCGTCATGTGGAATATTTCCATGGTGGACAGCAGGATCTCAGACTGGAAGTCCCGTTTCTGCTGGCTGGTGGCACCGTCCAGTGGAGCCTGCAAGCACAGCCCGGGCCTGAGCCAGCAGCCGCACGGCCACCGGGTCCGCTCACGCCGAGGGCTCCCCTTGCCTGACCAGCATGAGTTCCGCATCTGCCATGAGGGTGAGCCGCCACCGCTCACAGTCATCCCTTCCCCAGCCCATTGGCCTCTGCTGACCAGGCTGCCTCAGCCCGAGGCGGCACCCACATTCTGGAGCCAAGAAGGGGGAGCTTATGGCTGCCTGGCAGGTGCCTCGAGTTGGGGCCAACTCTGGGACAGCACACCAGCACCCTCCTGAGACCACCTTCAAGCTAGCTTCCCACTAGCCAGCTAGCCAGCTTCCCACTGCCCTCCTGCGCTTCCCTCCCTCCGTCCTTCCCCTGAGAACACCCACCCCCAATAAGTCACTTCCACAGACTACCCCATGCACGTCACTGCAGCCTCGGAGCACACCCGCTCTCACCCGCTCATCCCTCCAAGACTCTGCAGCACACAGCCCACTAGCAAATTCCCTTACCAACCCACCTCCAAGAGCACCTCCAGGGGCAGCCACTGCTTGGACCCCACAGCCCCGACCAGGAGCTCCCTCAAGAGGAACTGCATAAATGCCCTCAGCTGCCTCCGGGCGGGATGCGACTTTGCAGGAACCTGCAGACCCTCTGCAGTGGGGTCACCCTCAGCCGAGATTGCAGGACTGTTGGTGTTCCGGGCAGACTCAGCCACGGTCCCCTAAAAAGACAAGAGAACCTTGGCGTGTGTGGCCTTGTCACAGCCCTTCTGCCGTGTGCGTTGGCAGGGCTGCCACTGTACCATCGACAGGAAAGGAGACTGGGCCCCGCTAGGTGGGCAACTTGCCCGGGGTCCGGTTCCTTAAAAGGTGGCCCGCTGTGGTGGGAGAGCCTGAGATGAGCCGGGCTGTGCAAAGGGACAGACCAGAGTCAGAGGCCCGCGGAGTGGAGTGGTGCAGCCCTGGACGGGTCAGGACAAGCTCTTCACTCCTCCGAGCCACAGCTGTCCCCTGATAAAGCAGCGGTAACAGGGACAACCCGCGGAGGGTTTGGGAGAACGACATGGGAGAGCAGCCCCGGGATGTGGTAGAGAAAGTCTGTTTCCGCCTGGCAGTGGGGACTGCTTCCTCCCCGCAGGGCCAGACCCTGCTCTTGTCGACGGACAAGGCCTTCAGCTGAGTAAGACGAGGAAGTCGGACCTCAGAGTCCTCCCATCAAATCCCTGAAGCTCTCTCAGTTCACGTTTATAAGGATGTCGGAGGCAGAAAGCCAGGTCTTTACCTAGATCCGTCCAGGACATGCGACGCTGGGAGGCCGAACAGCACGCCAAGGACACGCAGCCAGCCAGGACTCCGGACTCCCGGCCCTGAGCTCCCCACGTGCGTTCATCTGTCGGCACCTCCCTTTGCTCATTCATAAAATTAACGCAGCCATTCTTAATTAAGCCATAAAACGAATTTAATGGTGCCGAGGGAGGTGGTGGCTGCATTAATTAGCTCCGTGCGGCCCTGACTGGAAAGATGCCATATAAATTTACAGCAAATCAAAGCCTTTGGCCGCCAGCCTTTGGGGTGAAGAGGGACTGTCACAGTTTCTGTGTGACATGGGCTTGCAGAGCCGACTCGGAGCCGGGATGCAGCAAGGAGGTGGACTGGGGAAAGCCTTAGAATTGGAGCCAGAAGCCCGCGGGTGGCTAAGGAGGTGACTTTGGGCCAGTTCCTCCCTCTGGGCAGGAACTGCTGATGGTGGGGAGGGAGAGCCTGGGTCAGAGTGCCCCTCAGCGGACAGAGGCGATCAGCTAGAACCCAGCTCAGCAGTCTGGGCCCTGGCTTAGAGACGGAGGCGGGCATCGGAGCTGAGCCTACCAGGCCACAGAGCTCAGAGCCCTGGCCCCCACTGAGACCCTGACCTGGCAGGGTGGTGAGACTGGCCCTCCAACCTGCCTGGCCCACGGCCGCCTGGGCCTCCGTGGGCGTCCCGTCCCCACTCCTGCATGCAGCCTGCTCTTCAGCACATTTCTTTTGCGCTTAAGTTTTTAGTCATCACTTTCATTGGTATCAGTCTTTCAAACCACTTTAAAGTCATTTTATCTTATTTGCAAATATTTTAGTTTTTACATTTAGTCTTTCAATTATAACTAATTATTCCTAAATTTTATTTGGCTATGTAGCTTTTTTATTTTTTATTTTTAGAGATATTTTTGCTATAGGGTGTGTGTGTTCACCAAAGACAAAATAAGAGACAGAAAGTGAGAAATCGCTCCCCAGGGGAGACAGCCACAACTCAGTCTCTTCTCCCTCGTTCTTTTCTCAGGATTTTGGGCACACACACACACACACACACACACACACTCCCAGCATGAGTTTTAACTGCCAGGTCTGGGATTCAAACTGCAGTCGACTATGTGGGAGTCCAGCGATGTAACCATTATGCCTTCTGCTGGTCCCAACGTAATCTTATTTTAAACTGACAACGATGGAAAGGACGTGGGCCTTAGGGTGAGGGAAAGATAGACCTGGGCTCTGTCACTTTCTTGTCACATGGGAGGAAGCACCAGGCACCCTCTGCTCAGTCATTTTGCAAAACGGGTCTGATGACCCCACTCAGCCCAGAGGAACTGACAAGACGCCCCAGTCTCTTGAACCTGTCTCCTCCTACTGACACCACCTGCATCGGGTGGCTGCTGGGGTTCCGGGAGCACCAGGCTAAGACCGACGTGCAGTCAGGGTTCAGGAGGTGGAGACCTTCACCATGGCCCCATCTTGGAAAAGTGAGCTGAGAGGCACGTCCATTGTTAGCTTGGCCATGGGACCCCTGATTATGAAGCGGCCACTCCATGCCCGGCACGGTGCTTGGCGGCCCCTCCATGCCTAGCATGGTGCCTGGAGGGGTTGGCTGTCCCTCTACCTCCATGCGCTGCCTTTTCACTGTGTTCCCTTAGCTGCAGTTCTGATGTGCAGACAGGCATCCTTGCTCACTCTCCCTCTCCCGGGTTCGCCTGTCCCTCTACCTCCATGCGCTGCCTTTTCAGTGTGTTCCCTTAGCTGCAGTTCTGACGTGCAGACAGGCATCGCTGCTCACTCTCCCTCTCTTGTGTTCGCTTCCTCCCTGAGACCCCCCCCCCCCCGACCGCTGCTACTGGCTCTCAGCCACATACTCACCTGTGTGTCCACGGGCCATTTTCTCGCCCACATACAAGACCTACGACCTTGTCCTCAGACCCAAGCGTCCTGCCCCCAGCCGCCCGCCCTTGTCTCATCCGGCTCGGAGCTGGGCAATGAGACCCACAAACCCACTGCCCCGGAAGCAACCCAGGAGAGGCCCGAGGTGCACAGACGGGTCCTGAGGACAAAGCCTGCGTGGACGCTCTCCCAGTGCCACCCCTCTGCCCCACCCTGGCACTGCGAAGGGCTTCCTGGAATGCGAGCCATTGTTTCCCGTTATCAGTGCCTAGGTAGTCCACATAGACTTGGGCTTGATCTACCATCAAATTGCTCATTACTGAGATTCCTAAAAACTCAAAACAGTATTGAATCTTGAAGCTTAAAATGACTTCGAGGTGCACCTCAGCCAGGAAAAAGAAAATTGCCCAAATTGTTCAATGTTCCAGGCAAGTTGCCTTAAAGTACATTCTAACTCGGGGAGGACAGGAGGGTTTCCCTTCCTCGTTGAAGGCGAGACAAAGGAAGCTCGCATGCGGTCCCGGGGGCAGGGCAGTGGCACATCCTACCTTTTGGGTTCCCAGGGGGAAGGTGACTGTGGCCAAGGTCTGCAGGAACTCCGGGGCCCGCCACGCCGGGTCCTGGGGGCAGGCGCGGTACACGAGCCCGAGGAACTGCAGCACGCTGGCCGGAAAGGTCTGCTCCCAGGCGCCGTCTTCAGCACCTGCCGCGGGCTGAAGGCACACTGCGTGAGAGGCGGGCGGGCAGCATCGCGCTGCCTGACCAAGTGGAGGCACTGAAGTCTCCTGTCCCGGATGTTCAGAAAGACGTGGTACGGCAAGACACCCAGGACTGTGGGTCAGCACTGGTGCTGGTCACGGGATGGGGAATGGGTCAACGGGACGATGCTGGACATTGTCCTAAGGGCTTCGCCTCTGTTCCCCTCTCACCTTCCAACAGCCCTCTGATAGGTCCTCGGTCTGCCCTATATTTACGGATGGGAAGAAAGAGACCCCGAGGAGCTTGTCAAAAGTCCCCCAGTGGGTACCATGCAGAGCCAGGAACTGAACCCAGGAAATCTGACTTTGAAGTCTGGCTGTCTTCTCGATGTGGTTGCCACGATGAAAGAGACACCCTGTGCTCGAGAACTCGCCGGCCAGGGACCACCCCTACCCCAGGCACCGACGTTCCCACCTGTGGACCCTGCCCTGGCCAGGGTCTGAACACACCCTGTCTCAGGGTAACAGGCCTTCAGGAGCCCCTTTCCCCGCCTACTAGGGGTCTGGAGTAGATCAAGCCACCCTGAGCTGGCTCCCAGCACCCCGAGGCAGCCTGGCCCCAGTTCGCCCCACAGTCACTTCTCTTCCACCGGGTCGTGGCCACACGGCTGAGCCTCCACCCTGAGTCCTGACGGCACACTCGTGTCCTTGATCCCCACTGCCCTGTCTGGAGGCTGAGCCTGGCCCTAATGTAGCCAGCTCCTGCAGCTCCGAATGGGGACCCTGGGACTGCCTTCACCTCAGGGCCAGTCCCTGCACAGCTGCCTATGATTGAGCGATGCTCAGCCTGCTCCTGCAGACACTGAGGTGGTATCAGGCCCTTGTTTTGTGAGGCCGGGTACTCAGCTCCAGATGCTCGCCCTCACCGTCCCTGCCCCAGCCCGCTTCCTGCCTAGTGCCGTGTGCCTGAGTCTGGATGTTCTCGTTGCCGAGTAGCCAGGGAGCCCCCACTGCGTCTCACTAGGACACTCAAATCTCATTGTAGCAAGAAAGCCAGGACACACAGGGCCGCTGGAATCACGTCTCCAGGATCCCCCAGGGTTGGTACGGGCAGGAGCAGGCAGGTGTTTCTGCATCTGGGTTCTCCACCAAGACTGCATAGCACAATTTAGATTGACAAGGGCATTCAGAGAACTTTTTCTGGAGTTAGCCTGCCTGGATCAAATCCTTCCTCCACTACTTCCTAAGAGCATAGCTTTGGAAGTAGCTGGTGAGCACACATGCCCAGAGCAAATTAAAAATAATGATATTAAAGACAAATAAAATCAAATAAAGAATTCTAAAAAAGAAGAAGAGGGAAAAGAAAAGAGTATAGCTTTGGACAGCTCCTGAACCCGTGCGATGGCCATGTCTTCCAGGCCCTGCCCCGTGTCATTGCCGGAGGGAGAGCTAGCCTCCACCGCTTCGGCCCTGCATCTCCACGAGGGCGATGGCACCATCTCGTCCAGGATCTGGTGGCGTGCGTCAGAATGGTGAACACCGTTATGGATTGAGTGTGGAAAACTGCAATCACAACAGCAAGGGCGCGGACCCCTGGAGCCCGCCCAGGATAAAAGCGGGCCTGAGTAGGCCTCGGCATTTCCATTAACGAGTAAGGCAAGCCCTGTGCGCACGTCACGGCCCGCTGTCACTCCTGTGCATTTCCGACAGAAAGAAGTCCAAATGAAGGTGGCCAGATTTACAGTTTTAGAAACTGGCAGAAAAATATCAGGAGACTGGTAAGTCCATTCGAGAGCTGGTTATTTTAATAAGCCCACACGCCTTCAGCTCCTTGAGTAGAAGGACAGGTGAGGTCGAGAGAGAGTATAAACACACGGACAGACTGAGACCGGGAATAATCACGCAGAATTAAAGGAGAGGTCTTCTGTGTACTTTCCGGTAGAAGAGAGATGCTGACTGTTCCCTGTGTGAAGACGGTAACGGCTGGAGGTGGTGGGTACGCTAATCACTAATGTGGTCACTGCACATTGTATCCATGTATTGAAAAAGCACACTCACTGTTTCCCATAAAAATCTACAATGACTATGTGCCAATTAAAACATCATTTTAAAGGGGCTAGCAGGTGGCATACTGGTTATGTTGCTGGACTCCCACATGGCGCACTGTGGTTCAAGGCCTGGACTCGGTGACTTGAAAATCACACCAGGCACACGTGTATGCATGCCCAAGACCCCAGGAAGAAATGGAGGAGAAGGGGTTGCTGTGTAGCCATATCTCTGGCGGGGGTTGATGTCTCACTTTCTCTCTCAATATCTCTGTTTCTCTCTCTAGTGAGCATGTGTGCCCTATTGCAAAAACTTCTTTAAAAATTTTTAAAAGACCACATGTGCAAATTGAATAAATGGGAAATTATTTTTAAATAGTGATGAACTCTAGGTCAAGAAGACAGTTAAAAGCCTAAACAAGTCAAGAATCATGGCAAAAACATAGGCCCGGGCAGTTTCAGAGAAGCAATTTAAATAATAAGGAATCATACATTTAATATATTTTTCAATATTAAAAAGGAAAATGGTCTTTTTATATAAAGCTAGCATAATATTGCTATCAAAACATGACAAAGATGTAACAAAAAGAAAATTGCAGCCTAGTATCATTTATAAATATATATAAAATCATAAATAAAATATTATAACTAGAATAAGAAAGTATGCTAAAAATAATAATAGAATGACTAAATGAGAATTTTGCAAGAATGTAGTAATTCATGTTAGGTAACTGCTTAAAAGAAAAAAGCATGTGAAAAATTAAAGGTTAAAGAGTATTTAATAAGAATGAAGAAAACATCTGTTTTCAAAAAGGGCAAAATGTGTTATCTGTACTTTCTCAGCACAATCACAAACACGCATAAAAACTGGCAAATTCAGAACAAAATGAACAGATATATTCATATGAAAAATGGTTCTGCCCTCAGTAATATTAAGTCTGAGTTCAGTACGAACAACCACTGGGGTGGCCACGTAGCTGAGGCTGTGGGGTCAGTGCAGAACACTTCTGTACAAGACAAGGGGATGTGTGTTATGCAGTGGAGTGTATTAGACAGTGAGGGATGAACTGGTTGGGGGACCAATGTCAGATGGGAAGATGTGGATTAGACAGTGGGGTATGCAATAGATGGTGGGGTATGCATTAGACGGGGTATGCATTAGATGGTGGGGTATGCATTAGACAGTGGGGTATGCAATAGATGGTGGAATATACATTAGACAGTGGGGTATGCAATAGATGGTGGGGTATGCATTAGACAGTGGGGTATACATTAGATGGTTCAGTATGCATTAGACGGTGGGGTATGCATTAGATGGTGGGGTATGCATTAGACGGTGGGGTATGCATTAGATGGTGGGGTATGCATTAGACAGTGGGGTATGCAATAGATGGTGGGGTATGCATTAGACAGTGGGGTATACATTAGATGGTTCAGTATGCATTAGACGGTGGGGTATGCATTAGATGGTGGGGTAAGCATTAGACAGTGGGGTATGCATTAGACGGTGGGGTATGCTTCAGACGGTGGGGTATGCATTAGACGGTGGGGTAAGCATTAGACAGTGGGGTATTAATTAGATGGTGGGGTATGCATTAGACGGTGGGAAATACATTAGACAGTGGGGTATGCATTTTAGACAGCAAGGTATACATTAGACAGTGGAGTATGCATTAGACAGTGGGGTATGCATTTTAGATGGTGAGGTATACATTAAACGGGGTATGCATTAGACGGTGAGGTAAGCATTAGATGGTGGAGTATGCATTAGATGGTGGGATGTACATTAGACAGTGGGAAATACATTAAATGGTGGGGTAAGCATTAGATGGTGGGATGTACATTAGATGGTTGGACGTCCATTAGATGGTCAAATGTACATTAGATGGTGGGGTAAACATTAGACGGTGGGGTAAGCATTAGATGGGCGGGGCTTAGAGTCAGGATGGCCTGGCCCTGCTTTCTTCCTAGCTGACCTCAGGCGAGCTACTCAGCCTCTTGGCAGTTCAGTTCCCTTCTCTATGAAATGTAAATTACATCATCTGCCCCATGGGATTGTTTAAATATCCAGCAAAATAAAACCCGTAAACCGTCTATGCATTAGATGGTGGGATGTACATAAGACAGTGGGATGTACATTAGACACTGGGGTGTACATTAGAGGGTGGGATGTACATTAGACGGTGGGGTGTACAATAGAGGGAGGGAGATATACGTATCATGTTTAATACAACGTTGCTGAGAAGTGTTCAAAAGAAAATGTGTGCAGTACACTTTGACCCACCATCCCACAACACAGAAATCACACTAAGGAGGTCATCTAGCTAGAAAGAAAAGAAAGCTGCCCAGGAACATTCACTATAGACCTCTTATAACAACCAGCACTCCAAAACAACAGTTTCTATTATAAATAGAAATGACATCCCCATTTTTCCTCTTTATCAATGTGGAACTATGTCCACAAAATGTTGAGGAAAAAGTTGCAGAATGGGTTCACATGTCCCCTCCCGGGAATGGGTGTGCTGCAATCTGGGAGCAGTCTGAAGTATTCCCCTGAAGCTCACAGTGGTCATTTCAGGACAGGTGTGTGTCAGAAGGATTTTCCTTTTGCTGTCTCCTGCTGTTTAGATGTGAAAGGTAACAATGACCCACTTTACAAAGCAGGGACATCACCCCATATGGTTAGGCTCCGACTGCCCTTGGTGTCTAAGTGGAAAACCAAGGTCCTCCGCCTCTCTGAGAGCTCTTGTCCCCAGGCTCACCGTGAATGACCCCCATCCACAGGCCCGGTGGCCTTCCCGGCTCCACATGCCGTGTGTACAGTAAGCCCTCAACACCCCTAGTAGACTTCGAAGGTCCAACCAAAGCTAACTTCCCCGAACGCCCCTGCAGGTCAGGTCTGCAGATGGTGCCTCCCGCCTTCTCCAGACAGGTCTCTTCCACCTCACAGGTCACCTGGTGAGGCCCACCTGTCTCGGAGGAGGTAAGGTCTTTGAGAGGAGAGGTCCCTCTTCTCCTCAGAGATGTCCCAGTGAAGAAAGTCAAGCTTTAAACCAGCAGCAAGCAGACATCCCCAGGTGACTCCCACAGAGCTCCTTGGAGCCCGTGGGCTAGACCTCCGGGCATGTCCCTACCATCCCTAGGAGCTACCTGGCCTCTTCTGTTTTATCTTGCTCTCACTGGCGGTACTGAGAAGCTGCTGGGAAAAGTCAAGGGAACCCCCAAATTTGTCTCCCCATCGGAACCTCCAGGGGATGGCAGGTGGGGACTGGGTCTCACCTGGCTCATGGTGGCTTTCAGCATCTCCAAGAGCAGCAAGGCCCCCTCCACGCACAGCCCAGTCTGGAGGGCCTCTTCCTGCTGGTGCTTGTGCAGCAGACACTGGAGCATAGCGTCGAGGCTGTCCTGAAAGAGGAGGTGAGAGCCAAACGGAGACCTGCAGCTACACACCCAGGGAATGGCTCTGCCGCGAGTGCGTCCCTCCTCCGGAGCCCCCGCGGGGGACAGCAGGAAAGGGCAGCACAGTTGCAGCCTGGCGGTCTGCCCGTGTGGAAAGCCCCTGTCCCCCAGCACACCCAGTGCCCTATGCCTCCGGGAAGGGGCGGGACCCTGCCACAGCTTCACTGAGTTTCTTCTTTTGGACTGACATCACGAGTACTCAATGTCCTAGTCAACCTTAGTGCATTTTGTAAATGAGGTTAAACAGGACATAGGGGGTCACAGGTTTCAGGGCCAAGTGCCTAGCGAGAAGAGTGGGCGGGGCTTAGAGTCAGGACGGCCTGGCCCTGCCTTCTTCCTCACTGACCTCAGGCGAGCTACTCAGCCTCTTGGCAGTTCAGTTCCCACCTCTACGAAATGAAAATGACATCACCTGCCCCATGGGATTGTTTAAATATCCAGCAAAATAAAACCCGTAAACCGTCTACTGTGGTCCCAGCACTTGGCACGTGCTGGCCTCCTCCCGCCCATCCCGGGAAATGAAAGCTCAAGGCTTCCGTGAACTTGACACAGCATGTAAGAACTCTGTTTTGAAGTGTAATTTACAGCGCTATCAGCATATGAAGATTTAGATCTGTCAAGTATAAGAGTATGTAAGAAAGATAATTATTTTTAGCTTTCTCTTTGCAAAGTCATGCCCATCCCCTATTTCAATTCAGGTCAATTAATTCAATTCAGTCAAGTTCACGAAACTATTTCCAAGTCTGCTCCTTGTCAGGTGCCCAGGAAGGCGAGTAAAGGCGGGTCTGCTGTTCAGTTGCCCTAAGGAGGCAGGTGAGCTCACCAGGTGTGTAAAGGCATACCGAGACACGGAGAGGGCAAGGGTCCTCCTGCCTAGGCTTTGAGCAGGAGGGGGCAGTGGAGCTGAGCACGGAGGGACACTCCCCCCAGACAGGTGACCGTGGGGAAGGAATGAGGAAGGGCACAGGTGGGCAAGTCCCACGCGGCTGGAATGCAGGGGAGGTGATGGGGAGAGTTACAGTGTGAAGGACGGTGAGTTACAGCCAGGACCAGGGATAGCCAGGCACCTGGTCCAGAGGGATCCTTTCTCCCCTTTTAAAAATATATTTATTTATTTATTCCATGTGCGAGAGAAACAGGAAGTGAGAGAAACAGAGAGTGCGTCCTCAGCAGGGTCCTGGTGCCGCAGTTCACTCAAGCTGCCAGCAGCCATAGGTCACAGGCACATACATCCACACACGCATGCTCAGAGAGGTCTCTGGATGTGACTGGAGCCTGCCTGTGTGGTCAGCCTGTCAATGTCACGTTTCGTCCCCTGCACCACAATCCGCCCCTCAGGTCGTGAGGGCCTGGGGCTGGCTGTGGAGTCCGAGCCTGGTCCTGCAGGAATGAAAGCCAGTGAAGGCTTGGTTTTGGTGCAGCTGACTGAGAGGATTGTGAGACTATAGCGAGTATAGACCCTTTGGAGAAATTAGCCAAGAAAGGACAAAAAATAAATAAATGATAAATGAATAGAGCCGCAGCTGGCTTTACGTGGGATGCAGTTTAACATATGTACGGTCCACGAGGACAGAACGAGCAGAAAAGGAGGAACAGAAAACATGGAAGAAAGGGTCCCTGGGCGAGGTCACCCAGGGAAGGAGTTGGAGGACACCAAGCTCGGCCTGGGAGAGCCTCCCCTTCCCGGAGACACAGGAAGGAGGTGATGGAGAAGCCAGGGTGTGAGCCGGAGGTGGAGGCCAGGCGCTGACACTCCCCAGCTATGCCCCGAGGAGAGGGCTTAAAGTGGGACTGGTCAGAACCAGAGGCTTGCCAGGAGGATGATGGGAGGCAGAGGCCGAGGAAGTCAGGGTGCAGGCAGTGAGGCGTTCGCGGAGCAAGGAGGGTGCAGAGCCGCTAGGGAAGGGAGTGGTCAGGACACGGCCGAGTCGGAGAGGGCGAGGACTCCGCTGGGAGAGTAAAGGAGCTGCCCTCACCGCGAGGACTCAGACCCCAGCTGCTCCGGGAACCCACCTTGGGCCCGTCCGCCAGCTCCGCGAGGGGCATCTGCAGCAGGAAGGCAGACACGGCGAGGTAGACTTCAGGGATGTGGACGTGGTGGGCCAGGAAGTCGGTCAAGATGCGGAAGCCAGGCAGCAGGCAGGGGCTCTCGTCGGGCACGGGAGGGCGGCTCTTCAGGTTGTCTGTTAGCCAGGCGAAGGGCGCAAAATCCAGGTAAGCACGCCTGCTGCTGTCCTGGCCACAGGGAACGGGATCCCTGAGGGGTCCCCTGCCTCCCACCCCCAGCACCGAGACGATGGAGAGAAGCGTAGCCTACGTGTGGGTGAGCACAAGGACATGCCGAAGGTTCCCCTCCCGGCCCGCCACGCTCGCTCCCTCCTCCCGGTGCTGACTTGTGCGTGCCATGCGGGGGATGGGGAGGGGACGAGCAGCGCTGAGCCGGGGACTCGGCGTGTGGGCAGAACTGCCCAAGCCAGACACACACGGAGCTTGCAGCGCGTGGGAGGGACGGCCACCAAGCAAGCAGTCAAGCGGGTAAGTGCTCGCAGATGACGAGTCACAGGGAAGCAACAGGCAGAGCGAGGACACAGAGGGCCCCTTCAGGGAGCCGTCCTCCCCCAGAGGAAGGGGCCTCAGAGCTGAGAACTGAAGACGGATCCCCATCACAAAAGCAGCATCCCAGGAAGAGGAAGAACGTGGGGTGGGGTGCCCAGGACAGAGCCAAGGAGCCGCTGAGGGACAGAAAGCAGCCCCCCGTGGCTGAGGTTGTGGGGGACCCTGCAAAGACTGTCGGGGGCTGGGGCTGCAGATCAGGGGTCACATTGGGGAGGAGGTTGGCCTGGTCGTCTCTCAAACCTCAGGTCCAGGGGGCGCCCTGGCTGGTGGTCACAGCTGCCTGCTCACCCATCATGATGTCCACGCCCTTGGCGCTGTGTTCCACCCAGGACCCCGCAGGCAGGCCATCCTTAAATCGCCCGCGGAGGGTAGGATTTGACAAGAAGTGCAGCAGCAGCTTCAGGGCCAGCACGGTGGTGCTGGGGTGCAGGTGGCCCTGCAGCAGCAGCAGGAACCAGTCGGGGCCCAGGCTCAGGAACGTCTCTTCCTTTGACCTGGGGATAGCAGATGTCATCGGTTACCTCTCAGGCCACGGCTAGCGGCCAGACCAGAACAGAGACGTCCAGCCTCACAAGTCTAGGAAAGGCGGGCTCAGCTAAGCGTCGGAGCACTTAGCGAAGTAGGGATACATTTTTTTTAAATGGTAAAATAGGGACCAACAGATAGCATATTGGTTATGTTGCCGGACTCCCACATAGTCGACCGTGGTTCAAGTCTCAGACCCAGTGGCTTAAAACTCACACTGGGTTTGTGTGTGTGCATGCCCAAAATCCCAAGAAGAGACTGGAGGAGAAGGGATTGTGGCATGGTTATGCCTCCAGGGGATGATTTCTCGTTTTCTGTCTCTCTGTGTATCTTCGGCGAGCCCACATGACCTATAGCAAAAAATCCCTCTTTCTAAAAAAAAGAAGAGAAAAAGAAAAACGGTAAAATAAAGTGCCAGCAAGATTGCCACACAATGGGTGACTGTGACGGTGACAGGCTGGAGGCTGGACGGGTTGGTCGCAGCTCTCCCCAGCAGCTGGTACCAACAGATCCCAGAGCGCGGGATCAGTAGGTGTGGCAGTGCGCTTGCCCTTCAATAGCCCTACTTCGCCGCACAGCGAGTGAACAGTCCCCACCTCATGTAGCTGCCGTCCATAGTCACGCAACACAGTGATTATTCATCTCCCTGATCAAAAAGAATCAGGCATCATTGTCGGTTTAGGCAAAATAACTGATAAACTGTCACTCTCAAAAGGGAATCATAGAATGATGAGTCTGGGGACCAGCAGTTAGCGTAATGGCTATGTCGCTGGACTCCCATGTAGTCAACTGCGGTTTGCGTCCCGGACCCCGGTGGCTTGAAACTCACACCGGGCGTGTGTGCGTGCATGCCCAAGATCCCGAGAGGAGAATGGAGGAGAAGGGATTGTAGTGTGGCCATCCCCCCTGGGGGGTGATTTCTCCCTTTCTGTCTCTCTGTCTCTCTCTGTCTGTCTGGCGAGTGCACGTGCCCTACAGTGAAAACCTCTCCAAAAAAACAAAAAGGGGGAATGACGAGTCTGGAGGGGCCAGCTGGTGGCATGGTGGCTAAAGTGACTGGCTCCCACATGGGGGACTGTGTGGTTTGAGTCCGAGATCCTATGGTTTGAAAATCATACTGGGAACCTGTGTGTGCACCCAGAATCCCAAGAGAAGATGGAGGAAGAGGAATTACTGGGTGGCCATCCCCCAGGGGGTGTGATCTCTCACTTTCTCTCTTTCTGCTACTCTCAAGCAAGCACATGTGCTCTACAGTGAATTAACAGAAGCAAAAACAAGAGTCCAGAGAATGCGGCCTTGCTGGAGGTAAGCAGAAGGACCTGCAGGGGAGGGAGTGGATGGCCCATCCAGCAGAGACAACGGCTTGGCAAAGGACCCAGGGAAGGACATCCCTGTGCCAGGCAGTGTCTTCAGTGCCTGCTGCTCCTTTGAGCATGGTGTGGATGTGGGCGTCCACTGGACTGAGCACAGACTAGGGTAGAAGAGAAGAAACCGCCCCCCTTTCAGGTCGTGCACTGATGTCGGATCCAGGATGGCTTTTGCAGAGTTCTTCGTGTGTTCTGGTCATTTTCTTCACCGAGGACGTTGCTGATGGTGTTGATGGGGTCACTGAGGATGGTGGCAAGGATGACGATGATAATGCAAACAGCTTGGAGAATAGTGTATCCCAGGCAACTTCCTCGGGTCTGTTCACAAATTCATTCATTTCATCCTCCCCACTGCCATCTACAGAAGACATTATTTTTATCCTCATACAGATTAGTAGAAAGAGGCTTAAGAAAGCCTCCCCAGGTCCCTGGGATCTGAGCTGGGACTCAAACCCAGAAAGTCTAGATGCCTGAGTCCAGGTGCTTAAGCACTATAGTGCATTCCCTTGCAAAATGCTGAAAGGGGACGGGGCTGGACTAGTCCACTTCCAAGGTGTCTTCTAGGTCCGCCGTGTGTTGATTCTAGGAATGTGAAGACTTGTAGGCTGATAAAATTTGAAACACTATTTGCAGGCTGCTTTACTAAAGAATAACTCCCACTCCTACCCCCAAATGCAAATACACATGGAAACAGAAACAGAGCACAGAGCTGGGCTGACTTGCCCGACGCTGCACCCTAAGAGCCAGGAGCAGAATTTTGAAACAGTAGATGCTCAGTGAATATGTATGGAATGGCTAAAGGGTTGAGGGAAGAGCTGGCCAGCAGTAGGGGAGAGCTAGTGGGATTAGCATGATGGTTACACATTGTCTTATTTACTTATTTGTAAGGATTTTTGCCACAGGGTGTGAGTGCTCACTGGAGAGAAACAGAGAGAGAGAAAGTGAGAAACCACCCTCCAGGGGAGATGGGCATGCCACCATCACTTCTCCTCCTAGGATTTTGAGTGCACGCGCATGCACCCGGCAGGATATTCAAGTCACCAGGTCCGGGATTCGAACTGTAGTCAGCCATGTGAGGAGTCCAGTGCATTAACCACCATTCCACCTGCTGGCATGGTTACACATTATTATGGAAAGTTAACTGAAGGCAGATACTTCTTTTTCCAACTTGGAAAAATAACGAAATCACTAACAGTAAATAGAAGAATTTGGCAAGCCTTTTCCTTGATAGAAGCTATTTAGGTTTACCATTTCTCCATTCTATTGTCTGCCAAGGATGGGACATCAAAATCAGTCATCGTTATAACTGCCAAAACTGTAACAATTACTACAGCAATGGTGACAAAGGAGTTTATTGTAATTATACCAGATCTGCTTCGAGTTACTCAGGCCCATTTAACACTGGCATCGCAATATCTTAGGGCAAGGTCTGGTTTATTGGGTGGAGAGAATATGATTTTCTTTCTGACGAGTGCAGGAAACACTGCAGAAAATGGACTCTGAGATGCTCAACTTTTCATTAAGGAGAGATTTTAATACCACACCCTGTATGAGGCAGCCTCATGCCAAGTTGCTCTTCCTGGGGCTACTCACTCCGAGGACCGATGAAGTCGAGGGGAAGATGTCACACCGAGAAGCATCTCCAGCAACTGGTTTCTGAGCCAGATTGTCCTTCCAGATGTTTGGCTTCCAGCTACAAAAAGGCGAATCCCGATTTGAGAGAGAACGGATGTAAAGAGGCAGGCTATTTGCTGCAGTAAGCAATCACGGTCACCAAATGCTCAGGCCACCCAGGAATTGAGGCTTAACATTTGGCATTTGATTCTAGGCTTCAACACAATGCTTAAACAGAATTTCGGGAAATGTTTCTAAAGTCCTCTTCAACTAGCGATGCCTTCCCTATTGTCTAACTCAAAACAACAGCAACAACAACAACAAAAACGAAAAATGATAAGACCAAATTTATCTTTCAGTAGAATTTTCTTTTTCAGTTACCATCAGCTGCCACGTTTTTAAGCACACACTGCACGCTCCAGTGTGAGAAATCGCTGGGAGCTGAGGGCTGAAGACTACAGTCTTTATTCCACTGGTTTCTACTTTCTTTTATTTAATTTATTTTTTGAGAAGTTTTTGTTATAGGGTGTGTGCACTCTCCAGAAAGACAGAGAGAGACAGAAACAGAAAGTGAGGAATCACTCCCCGCCCCAGGAGGGGGATGACCACGCTGCAATCCCTTCTCCTCCGTTCTCCTCTTGGGATCTTGGGCACGCACGCACACATGCCCAGCATGAGTTTAAGTCACCCAATCCAGGACTCCAATCGTGGTTGGCTACATGGGAGTCCAGCGACATAGCCATTCCGCCAACTGCTGGTCCCTGTTGGTTTCTACTTTCAATTTGCTTCAGGTTAGGCCTTTTGCATGTCTATGCAGTACTGAAAATCAAACTTGAATCATAGAAAGATACAGATCTAGCCAAAAATGAAATTTCACTTCCAAAGTGTTATTAAAGCCTTGGAAGGCTAGCGATTGTTGGACACATTTGGTTAGATAACAGCTTCGGAATGAAGTCAGTATGAGGGTGGTGGCTAACGCAGCACTCTGCGACCCGAAATGCATTCTCCCGTTCCTTCAGTTGCCAGTTATTTTATGACACATTCGGGGTCACAAGCCACGCTGTAGAGACGAGGCTGCTGAGGCAGCGTGGAGAAGTGGAACTGGATTTCTCTGTGTTCCGACCTCATTGTTTACAAAGGTCCGAAATTCCACCAAGTCTCAGTTTTCTCATCTACAAAATGGGAACAGTAATTTCTGGTTTTGAGCTTTGATTCAAGCATGAGAGATAATACTACGTATCTGGAGTGAGTAATGCTGTCCAAGAAAACCTGCAGTGACATCAACTTCTGACCTCTGAAGGCCAGCCACTGGCCCCACATCCTGGCCGAGCACTTGGATGGCGGCTAGTGCGAGGAACTGAATTTTCATTTCATTTCATTTGACTTAATTAACATTTAAATTTAAGCGGCCACACGCAGCTAGAGGCTCCCATCTTGGACAGTGCCAACCCGGACGGCCCAACTCCAAGTGGTCTTAATTGTTCCCTTCCACTGCCCAGCAGAGGGAGCCCCGGATGAGATGTGGCTGCAGGCCTGCATCTGGTCGGGATGCAACAGCGACCGAGAAACACACCCAGATCCACGTGCTATGAAAAGTGCGAGGGTCGTTAGTAGCACCAGGTCGGGCTGGGTGAGACTGGAATGGCTGGAAAGTCGGAGAGCGAGGGAAGGTGGGCACTGGTGGCATTGCTCTAGAGAGAACAGCATGTGCAAGGGATGTGCGCAGTTGATGGTGGCCATCAGGGCCTGCAGGTGCTGCTGACTGCTGGAGCTGGGCTCCGCTGGGGCAAGAGAGGTGACACAGATCCAACGCCAAGTGCAGCTTCATGTGAGGGTTTGAGGGGTAGTGCACTATTCTGTGATCAATACGATACTTCCAGAGGCTTCTAAAATCTGCCAAGATTCATCAGAGAGTTAACTCTGGCTCTGCCAGACAATATATCAGCTCATAATGAGGACAGAAAGGTCAGGAGTGGCACCAGGGGACTGTCATTTGGGAAGCCTGCATGACGGCTGTGCTGCCGGAATTCTTGAATTCGGGACACAGTGGGAGTGCCCTGCACCAGGGGGCAGTGGACCATCGCCCTGTGGAGATTTGACCTCCCACATGCCAGGCTACAGGGGACTGGCTCTATCCTGCAGGCCTTGGAAGTCATTCCAGGTTTGGAAGCAGAAATGGGAGATTTCATTTGCCTGGCGACCCTAGTGGTGAACGACTGCCTCCCAAGCCAACACCTGTCCACTGCTCCACTCTGGCAGGCTCCCCTCCTTTGCCTCAGTGCCTCCCTCTGCAAATTAACCTCCCAACGTCTGCCTCTCAGGGGAACCACGAGGGTGGGTCTGCTGCCTGCAGATGGCATCTAGAAGGATCTTCTCACCAGACACAGAAGAGTCCAGGGCTCCGTCCACGCACAGGTGCCTCTCGTTCTCCGAGGAAGGTTTGAGAGTGTACACGACAAACAGCCCAATCCTTTATGCAACAGGAGAGAAGGTGGCTCGACCCCCATGTGCCGGGCACGGATTAGCATTTTCCACACAGATCCAACCCCAAGTGCAGCTTCACGTGAGGGTTTGAGGGGTAGTGCACTATTCTGTGATCAATACAATACTTCCAGAAGCTTCTAAAATCTGCCAGGATTCATCAGAGAATTAACTCTGTCTCTGCCAGACAATATATCAGCTAGTGATGAAGACAGAAAGGTCAGGAGTGGCACCAGGGGACTGTCATTGGGAAGCCTGCATGACGGCTATGGTGCCAGAATTCTTGAATTCGGGGCACCAGGAAGCTGTGGACCATCACCCTGTGGGGAACCTGCCTGTACTATCCTCAGTGCAGCAAATACATCCCTTTCCCAACTTCATCCCTGGGCAGAACCCCCAGAATGTTCCAGTAATGTTGGGCCGATGCAGTCAGGAGAGCCCTGGGGCCGTACCCCCTTGTGTGACAGTCTGAGCTCCTGCCCTTTCCCCTGGGAAGCTTGGCGTGGTACCTGAGGAAGTCCTGGATGCTGAAGTGGCCCCTCAGCTGGCATCCCAGGATGTCAATGATGGTGGGGATCTTGGAAGGGGTGAGGCTTGGTTCGTTGAAGAGGAAGACAAGCTTGGGTATAAGCTGCGCCTGGTGAGCAACCTCAGCATTCCTGGATCCTTCCCTGGTCAACCCCAGAGAGAGGCAGTAAAAGCTTTTACTGGAATTAACCAAATTTGCTGTGTTTCTGCTAAAAAGGTTTTCCAAGCTGGGCTTGCTACAAGGCCCTCTGACTCCACGCTCTCTTGGCAACTTGTCAAGAGGCTGTCAGACACCCAGAGTGGCCTGGGCGTGTGCTGCGCATCCCTTCCACCCCCGGAAACCACCTTCAGAGACAAACCCCATTACTGACTGAAATTCCAAGCCTCAGGGAAAACTAATGCCGGCCTCAGAAAACTCAGAACAAAGACGCAGACACGGTGTGACCAGGAGCACTTCCCAACAACCAGGAGCACAGGGCGCAGTGCCCTGCACGGGTCTGTGTGGTGTATTAGCTCCTATCTACCCCAAACCAGAGTGGGTCAACATGCTGCTGGGGGGCCTAAGGCAGAACCCAGGTGTCCCCGCCCCCTTCTGAGCATAATCACAGACCTGATTTCCAGCAAACTCTACTCTCCCAAGTAAAGTAGGTCCCAGAACAAATGTCCACCTCTTAGAAACAAGAGCTGCAGAAAGTGGATAGTGTGTGTGTGTGTGTGGCAGGGGTGGGGGAGGTGCAACATGTAGAGGAGGGCGGATTTAGATGGATTTGCATGGGCTGCTTCTCTTGAACCATCTTCTTTCATCAACACATTACACTCTGCATGGTCTGCGTCTTAGATATTTAGATGGATTTGCATGGGCTGCTTCTCTTGAACCATCTTCTTTCATCAACACATTACACTCTGCATGGTCTGCGTCTTAGATATTCTCAGAAGAGTGAAGAGGCTCAGGTCCGTGTGCGATTGTCTCCACCCTCAGCTCACTAGGGCAGGCATGTGTTCCCCCACCCGCCAGCTCTGGCTGCCTTTGCTGCTACTGTCTCCGATCACGGCAGTAAGCAGCATGTTGTCTGTGTGTCATTCTTCTCTTAACTCCCAGCACCGAGAACAGGGTGTGAGACATAATGCGTTTGTAATAGATATCCAATAATATATGGCTGGACAAAGCGGTGTGTACAAATACATTCAAAACACCGATGGTGCTAATGATCCCTAGGCCAACCTGACCCACGAGGAGGCCAACAAGTCGATACGTTGCCTTCCTTGATTCCTTTTTTCCTTATTCCGATCACCGCTCCTGGTTTGCTTTGGGAACTACCTCTCTCTAATTCCCTTCCACCTTCTCCATAGGTGAAGCCATGCTCTCGGACTGGCCACATATCCAAGTTGGCCTAAATGAGATTCAATCATATTACTAGGACTATGGAGTTTTTAAAAAGTCCTCTCTCTGCTGATTTTGGTAAAACTAAGGGTCCATTCTGAGGAGCAGCCCTGCAGCCACCTTGCTGCACAGAGAAAAAGACTGACAAAATAAAGAAGTATGGAGGAAACCTAGACAAGAGCAGACAACAGAGCACAGGTGAAATAAGGACAGCTCCACGCCACGGTGCCCTGCACAGCAAAGACAACAATCAGTATAGTAAAAAAGACAACCTACAGAATGGGAGGGATTATTTGCAAACCATACATCTAACAAAGATTAGTAATCAGATTACGTAAGGAATGCAAATGGCTCACCAGCAAAAAAATCAATACTCCAATTTAAAAAATAGGCAATTGATCAAAACAGACAATTCTCAAAGGAAGACACATAAGTGGCCAAAAAGCATATGAAAAAAGTGTTCGACATCTCTAGTCATAAGGGAAATGGAAAGCAAAACCATGAAGAGTTATCACCTCGACCCAGTTAGAATGGCTATTATTAAGAAAGATAGAACGAGTGCTGGTGAGACTGCGGAGAAAAGAGAATCCTTGTGCACTGCTGGTGGGAATGTAGGTTAGTACAGCCACTGTGGAAAACAGTATGGAGGTTCCAAAAAATAAACAGCATTACTTTATAATCCGGTAATCGTACTATGAAGGATAAAGGTCAATTATATTCCTGCACTACCATGTTTATTGCAGCACTGTTCACAATAGCGAAGAAACAGAATCAACCTAAGTGCTCCAAAGCTGATGAATAATAAAGGAAACGCAGTATATATATATTATTCCTGTTATTTGAAACATATGGATGAATATAGAAGAAATAATGCTACTTGAAAGAAGCCAGGATCTGAAATACAAATATGGTATTTCCTCATCCAGCAAATGCTATCTGCCCTCACTCATCAGTGGAAGCTGAAAGACTCAGTTATAACGGAAGATACTAGAAGTTGGGAATGCAAGGAGGTGTGGAGGATGGGGAGAACTTAGTTAATAGGTACAAGAATGCATGTAAACAAATGGAATGTGTTATAGAATAGAATAGCAGAGTGGAAAAGTTGGTGACAATTTAAAATAATTTTCCAAATATCCAGTAAAGTGAATTTGAATGTCTATAACACAAAGTAATGATAAAAGTTAGCGAGGGTAAATGTTAATTTCCTCAATTTGATTATTACACACTATATATATATATATGATTTTAAAAACCACACTGTACCCCATAGACATGTACACTTATTATATGTAAATCAGAAATTACAGCAAAAATTATTTTAAGTTTTTTTTTGAGAGGTTTTTGCTATAGGGTGCATGCACTTGCCAGAAAGACAGAGAGAGACAGAGAGATAGAAAGAGAAAAATCACCCCCCAGGGGGGATGGCCACGCCACAATCCCTTCTCCTCCATTCTCCTCTCGGGATCTTGGGCATGCACGCACACGCGCCCGGCGTTGAGTTTTTATTTATTTATTTATTTATTTATTTTTGAGAGATTTTCACTGTAGGGCGCGTGCGCTCGCCAGACAGACAGAGAGAGACATAGAGACAGAAAGCGAGAAATCACCCCCCAGGGGGGATGGTCACGCCGCAATCCCTTCTCCTCCATTCTCCTCTCAGGATCTTGGGCACGCACGCACACGCGCCCAGCGTGAGTTTTAAGTCACCGGGTCCGGGACACGCACCGCGGT